TTTAGACAAAATGATTGGAGCCCAACTGTCGGATTTGCAGAATGGCCCAAGTCATATCATCCAGCCATTAAACCAACATGACGACCATTCAAATAATGCTATTCCAAGGACAGTTGTACTCATTCGGACAAACTATTCTGTACATAACATCAGTGTTCTTGAAGTAATCGTGCAATTCAAACATTCATGTGTCCCACACAACTGTACCCCCCATACGGAGGTACTACGGCAACTTCCACACGTTGCGTAACGGTTTGCCCTCCTCATACGGCACAAAACTAAGTCATGAATTCTATACCCCTCTTTATTCTACTTAATAATACGGGATTAGCTCTGCGACTCATCAAATGTCGTCGTACAAGCCATATTAGGCATCTTTAGATATGAGTACTATACATACATCTGTACTGTCTCCATAAGAGTACTGGAAGCCGTGAATACTCGTTCAGAAAATATCCTGTTTAGATAAGAGTATTATCCACACACCAGGGCTGTAGACGCAACGATACTCCTTTTACCCCAGTACCCTCCCAAAGAATGGTACTCCAAGGGTAATTTTACTCATAAAGGCAAGACACTTGACACATGATGCTTCCGTTTGTATAATAGCACTCCAGGTGATCCAGATAGCTCCACTACTCGTACCTTTATAGAATAGTAGTATGCGGACCTCCAGTCTCCTCAGCATCGATGATCCAGAGACATCAGTAGTCTCCAGACAATAGTTATATTGGAATATCCATGCAGTTCACACAACACTCCTATTCATATAGTGAAGGCATAAACCTTGAATCCTTCACATACACTAGTACATGGACGACTGTACTCCTGACATAATAATAGTACACGTATATTCGCGCGCATCACTAGCAATGGAAATCCACAGCAGCATTGTACAAATAATGGTACCCCAAGTGCAGCTGCTGTTTTCAAATACCAATAGAATAACGGTGTTACAATTCTCCACACGTAAATATTACGAACTCTTGGGTAGGTTTCATATACGGTGACACTGGAAGATATCCGTACCCCTTACGTAGAAGTGCTCCTTATATATGTCTCCTCCAACCGGTTTCCAAGGTTCGAACGATTTAGTTGTTCGTACAGTACCTGTATACTCCCGGAAGACGCATATAATAATACTGTTGGTACAGCTGTATACTTCACAACCCTGGACACCTGTGACATGTTCCAGCGGCTTAGACACTTTTTGTCCTTATATAATACTACAGGAGGTCTATCTGTGAACTTCATCCAATGGTGTCATTCATATAACAGTATTCTTGAGATACAAGTACATGGTAGAAATAATGATACCCCCTGCATGTCAGTACTATTTAAATCATATTACTTCGGCCACAGTAGTACTCATCCCCAGAATGTTATTCCTCCCATATCAATACTTTGCACACATGCAAACTATTCATATGATAGTATTCTGGGAATATCAACACTTGAAGTTAAAAAGTTATTTTCACACAAGCGTAATCTAAGGATATCTTTACACTTGGTAGAGCGGTGCAGCTGAAGTCAGGCAACTTGACGCATTGCACCACTGTTAATATAATAATACTTTAGGGACTGTTAACAGTCCGTAACAGTAGTGTTCTTTGTATAATAAAGTTGGAAAGGCTGGGCATCGAGGTTTAGACCCTTCACATAATCGTGCTTCAGGCACATCCATAATCTGCGAACAACCCTGCTCCCTAAATGACGGTACTACGCACATATGAGTATACTCACAAAATACGGTTGAAGATTATGCATAATTCTAACGGAGGTATTCTACTGAGAAATCAATGCACAACAGATATTACCACAGCTCAAGTATTAGTACATTCATATAAGAATACAGGACGGGACTTCGGCAATCTTCACCATTGAAAATCCATACACATCCGTATTTTGCACGCAATTGCTCTGCTGCCATATTCATACACTGGACGAGATATTGCTCTCCAAATAATGACACTCGTGGAATATGAATATTTCAGACACCCAAGTACGGTTCATATCATACTACTCCTGGCAGCATATTACTATCGAAAACCTGGTCTTGGTAACATTTCTTAGGGGTTGTACCATCCCGTACTTGATATAATTGGGCCATTAAAATTAAATCCAGACCCTTCACATAATAAAACTTCAAAGAAAAGCATCTTCATCTAGGAACACCCTTCCGTACATAAAAGTAATACTCTTCAAATGTCGGATCAGTAGGGAGGTTCACGCGCTGCACAGGATAATACTTCTCATATAAAACTATGACGGAGGAGGTTATACCCTACATGATGTAACTCTCTGCATAGGATAGATCATGATGCCATATATCTTATCTGCTTGAACATAAATTAC